ATAATTAAATCCGACGAGAACTCCGCAAAACTACACGAAGATCTAAGCAAATTTCTCAAATGGTCTAAAGAATGGCATATGAAATTTATTGTGGACAAATGTAAAGTACTTAGTCTACGAGATGTAAACAGAGAAACCAGATACGAGATGAACAACGATGTGAAAGAAAATCCGACTGTGAGAAAAATTTAGGGGTAACGATAAGTCTGGATTTTAAACCTATATTTGTTCGAAACTAGGCTTACAAAGTACTAGGGTTCATGCAAAGGAGCGTTAGTAACAAGACTACCGAGGTCATCCTAAAACTTTATCTTGCGCTTGTGAGACTCACCTGGATTATGCAGTTCAGTTCTGGTCATCGTACTACAGAATGGATATAGAATCCTTGGAAAGCATCCAGAGGAGGATGACAAGTCTAATCCCGGGCATTAGCAACTATGAGTACAAGAGACAGATTAAAGCAACTTAATTTGCACTCCCTGGGGTTAGGGGAGGTATGATCGAGGTGTATAAATGGAAGTCAGGGTTAGAAAAGCTTGCTCTACACACGCCACAGACTCCTCGTTTACTCCCGGTCTTCCAGTTCGTCGCTTGTCATTAACGGAACCAGTCTCTTTAAACTTCATCCATCTTGTAATTGAATTTCTATGCGGTGCTTCGTTTTTTTAATGAGCTGTTAAATTTCTATTGATGCCATTCAATATAGTGTTGGGACAGATTATCTGAAAAAAAAACTTTAGATTAAATAAATTTCTTGGTTATAGAAATACTTAAATAAATTACTTATCCAATGCATTTTACAGATTGGTTTTATCTTCTATAGAACCTAAGTTATTAAAGTTTGAAAATGTAACAGGATTTTAGGGACACCCTGTTTATATATATATATATATATATATATATATATATATATATGTAATATCCAGAAATTTCAGAGTAATTTCAAATGCCCCGCCATGAGTGATACTGAGCGTTCAAGGTCATCTGAGGGGAGGGAGCGCTGCCTGCTCGTAGCGAGAGACTGCGGAACTAGGCCTATATGATATTAAATGTAATTTACCGAATTAATAATGATGCGATTCATGAAGTTAAGGGACTATTATTGAATTTGAAATTATTATAGATCGTTTAGCAGTCTGAATAATGTTACGGGTGTCCCAAGGAGTTATTAGTTAGGCGGTAAATATATCACGTAGGCCCAAGCTAGCGCCTTGGGGAGACACGACGCTGGCTAGCCCAGTCCCGGAGAGCAGTCACACAGACAAGACGTTCCGCGCGTCCATCAGAAATAGTCACGTGGCCTAGTCACCTGTGCTGCGCTATTGCAGTATAACAAGTAAGTCTCATTCGATCTCAGACAGGGTTAGATAGGGCAGTGGTAAAGTTAACTAGAGCTAACAGTGAGTTCATTTCAGGGTTTCCGTCAGAACCCACTTGATTGGAGTTGACTGGAGTTGACTGGAGTTGACCGGAGTTTGACTGCGAGAGATTGACTGCCGTTTGAGACTGCCGTTGATGATTGAGGGTGGCGACTGTCGCCATTGGACCGATCAGAGTAGGCCTGTCACTGTTTAGCGGGGTACCAAAGGATCTCTTGAGGGAATCTAGCCGTCTGGGTGCCCAGCGGACGTCGGCTCACAACACCACATGTCCAGAGCCGCTTAGTGAAACCCTCTTGCTAACGGGAAGCTAAAGCTCCTCTCAACTGCACAGGGTCTGATTGGCTCACTCTCTTCCTGCCCATGGACGCACTGGGAGTACACTGGGGCTATCTGAGTATATTAATGGTCACACTGAGACCGTGAGTCTAGGATTCTAGGAGATACCTAGAGGAACATTTTATCTTCCTTATTACGGGTGTAGTTAACACCATTCCTCAGACTGATATTATCTTGACGTGTGTAGTTTAATATTTCTTAAATAATTTTGATAGTAGTGTTTTTTTGAATGTTTGTGCCATTAAGTGGAACCAGAGTGATACTGTGATTTGATTCTTTTAATGCCTCTAATTGTTCTTCATAATTCTGATCTCAGGTATAACCTTGTTCCCCAGAGTAGTGGTTAGGTTAGGTTAGGAAGTGTACATCTGTTGGGGTGCTATAATTTTGTTGAAAGCCCTTAAGGCCTATTCATTGTAGAGTAGTTAATTTCTTATTTTTTAATACCATTTCCTAAGTGACTGATATTATTTTGTGAAAGCCCTTAAGGCCTGTTCATATGTGCAATTAACATTTCTTAATACTTCAAATTTATGGTTGCCTGTGTTTCTAATAATTTCTATGTCATGTATAACTTTTATTCCCCAGAGTAGTGGTTAAAGTTTAAGTTAAGAGGTGCGCATATTGGTGTACCATTATTTGATTGTGTTTGTAGTGTTGGAGGGAATATAAGTGTCTAAATTTTACAGTGTGTCTCATTCATCCCAGTCACAGACGCTATCCTTCCACGGGTCACGGACAGTTCATTTTGTGTAGTAGATTTAAGTGTTCTTGTGCTGGTTCGGGATTTTTCTCAAAGGGGCGCTTCCACTGCCTTTACCATCTATTAAATTTTAATAAACCCCAAGTCAAGTGAGAAATTAAAGTCCAGCAAATTCCGACCGGTTACAAAATGGTAGCAGAGCGTAGTTTTTAATGTCGTGACTGATAGTACTGTGGTTGGGATAATGAACGCCATCATGTGTTGGTTAGCAATGGTAGGGATTGAACTCGCACTGATGCTCATCCTTGTGCCCGGACTGAGTTGGTTAGGCTTGACAATAGAGATGTGTATGAGGAGGAAGAGAGACGGCCGCGGGACCTTGGTACAGCGGAGAGAGGAGTTCGGAGACCTAAAGAGGGATTATCAAGCACAGGTAAACAGGTTCAAGTGGGAGTCTCAGGCACACATTCAATGGTTCAGGGAGGAAACAAGGGGTGAATGTCAGGCACACGTCCAGCAGTCAAGGAAGTGTGAGGTCCAAGTGGGAAATGTAGGGGTATGTAAGTAGTTCAGAGAGGTTGATTGAGCCCTCCAGCTGAGAGACAAGACGAAGCCGACCGATTGCAGTTTAGGGTGCATGGTAATGAGAAAAGGCAGGTTGTAGGGGGTGAGTTGGAGGAGTTGTGAGTAGGGCAGAGGGGATTGGAGAGATGGTTAGGTCAGAGATGTGCGTTGAGTAGTGGTTGCTGTCATGAGCGGGATTGAGTTGCTGTCATGAGCGGGATTGAGAGTACGGTTGTAATGTCCAGGGCCTCACTAATATGGGCTGGTACATTGTCAGAGGGTTGGTCTGCCGGCATGAGGTTCGGAGACGTGGACTGAGTATTGTTTTGACACTGGTTCCTCTTAGCTCAAGGGCCAGGCAAAGGAGAGCATGTTGGAGATGGACTGAGTATTTTTTTTTGACACTGGTTCCTCTTAGCTCAAGGGCCAGGCAAAAGGAGAGCATGTTTGTTTTGGACTGTGTATTTTTTTTGACATTGGTTCTCTAGTTAAGGGCCAGGCAAAAGGGGAGCGTGATGTTCTGGTTGGTATTGAGTTGGGCTAGGAAGAAATGGAGTTGCTAGCTGCGAGTGGAATAGTACAGAGTTGAAGGTGGGTTTTAAGTTGTTCTCTCAGCACATGAGGGCAGTGCTGTCTTTTTTAGGGGGGTCGAGTGTTAGCGGGAGAGAAAAGGAGAGAAGAGAAGACAAATGCTGCATTTAGCAAAAGGGGTGAGGTGCAGTCCTTAGAACAAAATTTTAGGGGGGTCGTATGCATGTTTTCTCAGCACATGAGGACAGTGCTGTCTTTTTTTAGGGGGGTCGATTGTAATATCCAGAAATTTCAGAGTAATTTCAAATGCCCCGCCATGAGTGATACTGAGCGTTCAAGGTCATCTGAGGGGAGGGAGCGCTGCCTGCTCGTAGCGAGAGACTGCGGAACTAGGCCTATATGATATTAAATGTAATTTACCGAATTAATAATGATGCGATTCATGAAGTTAAGGGACTATTATTGAATTTGAAATTATTTTAGATCGTTTAGCAGTCTGAATAATGTTA